TAATGTATGAATATAATATACAAGTTTCACTTTTTAAATGGAATTACTGAAATAAATCTACTTTTTCATGATATTCTAATTTTATGACCAGCACCTGTAGTGTGATAGACGTGTTCAGCACCAGGGACAGCACATTGAAGGCTTCAAACAACAGGCAACGTTCCCAGTTCCTGTTGCAACTTTTTAGTGTTGATTATCTGAATCACATGTTGCACATATGACTGAGGCAATCCATTTCTGATCTCATTGATCTGCTACATCAGTGGTTCCCACTCCTTTTAGCCTTGTGTACCCCTGAGCCATTTTATCATAGTACCAGTACCCTTCTGTCAAACTCTTCTCCAAAGCTTTAATATACAACTGATTATTAAATGAAAGTTATTTATTTAACCCCCTAGAACGTTGAATTCTCAGGCATTTTAATTTTTTCAACTCAAATTAAACAAAGATAAATGCGTTACCTTGAAAGTGAATGAGTAATTAATTAAATAAACCAGGTAACTGCAGGTACAGGAAGCAGCAACGTCCAAAATACATCAGGAACTCAACCAAATGAGCAAATTCTGTGAGATTCTGAGTTTTACACTGGCTTCCATTTTGTTTTAATTCCGTGATTCCATCTGAATTTTCCACATTGTGGAAACCACAGGGCCCTACATGTATCTGTCCTTTTTTTACACACCTGGGAAATTTTTCCACGTACCTCCTGGAATATGCTCGTCTACGCCAAGGGGTACATGTACCCCTGGTGGGAATCATTGTGCTACATTAGGGATGCACAATATATCAGTATTGATATCGGTTTCGGACGATATTGGTCATTTTTTAGAATATTGGTATCAGTCCGATATGTAAAACAGGGCTGATATTGATGTCCGATATTGATTTCCCACTTTTTATCTTTGTGTTTGTGTTTTGTGAGGGGAGATGTTTGGTTGAGCAGCATCTGTTTGGTCCTGATAGTGATACTGACCCTGCACAGCCAGGAATAACTGAAGCAGGGAGTCATGTCAGAGGTCTGGTTGTTTGTTTACGGTATCAAAAAAAGACCCAAGTGTGTTTTTGCGTATATGTACCGGTATATAATATAATTTGTTTGTTTGTGTAATATCAGTAAATATCGGTTATCGGCCATAACAGCAATAATTATATCGGATATCGACATTGGCTGAAATTTTCATATGCTACATGACCACCTTCACATCTGATCCAACATGGCTGCTTTCATTATGGCGACTACGTTCTAGACTTACCCTAAAAGAAAGACCCCCAAACCCATTACTTGTTGGAGTATTCAGATATTTAATTTTCCCTTTAGTTTGTGAAAATAAAGGGTGTCCTGAGAGTTTTGACTCASCCTGTAGAAGCTGTGTGTTTCTGCAGGAATGAGTAAAGTGTATAAAAGAACAGACTCTTGGTTACGTTCAGTCTGTTTTAACGTCATGTTGTGAGACACTGACTCATTGACACGACATGATTGTGTGAGTAATTACACTGCTGTACTGCGGAGCAGCCCAAGCATCTGTCTTGGCTTAATTTCTCTGGATTAAAGGCAGAGTGAGAGTTAACCGCTGTGGCTTCTCAATCAGGGTTGCCATCATTTACTGATATTTCAAACTCACATCAGCACAACCAGCTGATGGTTTCAGCTCCTTCTTGTTCTCCYGTGATGCTGAATCTGCACCAGCTCACTCAAACACCACACGGCTTGGAGATGGGAAAGACAAAGCCATGTTCCTTGCAGAGTTTGTGGGTGGAGAGGAGGTGTAGCCTAAATCTGAATCAAGGTCATATTTCCTCAGGCACATCAAATGTAGGCCAACTTTACCATTTTTATACAGTAATGTAGAGAGAAGAGTATATGCAACAGTGCTGTGGTGGATTCACACACCAGGTTTGTGGTTTTTGCACAAATCTGATGTTTAAAGTGTAACTCTATGACTTGATGTGTTCCTCCGGGCTATAGGTAGCAAATATATTGTTTTTATTTTGAAAAGCTGCAGTTTCCTCATGTTAAATGTTGCCCAAACAAAAAGCATAACGTGATGAATTCACTGAGGTTTTATCAGCCTTCGTCCTCAGAGTCATTATAATTCAAGAACTGAGGAGGTGTCATTCAGAAACACCAACATCCAAATGGAATTTCAGTGCATTTGTGCTCTTTTATTTAAAAAAGAAAACAGTTAAAGCTTGAGAAATGAGCTGTTGAATTCCATTTAAATAAATATTTAGCTCCGTTGCTCAGGTTTAGATATGAATAACTGGAATTAAAATAAGAGTCAGACGATGCTGAGGTCACACACCATGTTGGGATTTAGATGATATGAGAATTTACAGAAGGTGGTGTTTACCTGCTTCACTGTTTAATTTAATATTACCTTGATTCTGTTTAGAGTTTAAGCCAAAGACATGTGATTTTCTTAATTATTGGGAGTTTCTATTAAGTATAATAAAAATCTTTTGCAAAGTGTCGCTTAAAAATTTAATTAGACAAATGTCTTATTTGTTGATCAGCGGTCTTCAATGCCGGGGTCATGGAGGTACTTCAGGGGGAGGATGTGAAATTTCTGGATTTATTTAATGTGTTTTTGTTATTTAAAAGTAATGTATTTAAACACACATTAACATGAATCCATCATATGTGTAGATATATGGAGGCATAAAATAATGTATTCAATCAGAAATGCTCACATTGAGTGAACACAGCAGCTGAACTCAGCTTCACTTACAGCCTGACCCTGCTACACACGACCTGGACCAAACAAACATCACCACCAAAAAGATCACTCTAGTTTTGTGTTGCACCTTTAACTTTGTTGCATCACTTCATCATTTATTATTATTATTATTTATTATTATCTCCATATTAATCGTTGTCGTCTCTCAGTCACTTTGGGGATCCCAGAGTGAAAAACATTAAATATTCCTGGTTTACATGAAGTTAAAGTCACACTGCAGCCAGCCTGTAGGGGGCGCTCTTGATGTTTCAGCCTCAAATTCCACGTTATCTTCTTGTAGCTAGATATTATACATATAATATAGATGATATGTTAGCATTTGTTGAGATTTTGCTTTCGTGTTACCAGGTTACATCAGTCAAATGTTTGCAGTAAGGATGAAGAAGAAGGTCCTCATTCAGTTCTGGTGTTAAATGTGTTTTTCTTCACAGAACGGCACAAAGAAATCCTGGGACTTTATGCGAACTCATGACAGGTAAAACCCTCAGCTCCTGCTGTTATTGATGCATGCAGTGTTTCTGTCTGCTTTCATGACTCATTTATTGCCGTATTTTTGACCTTAAACGGGTTTCAAGCAGTGTTCCTGTCCATCTGTGAAACATYCATGTTCACGTCTGAAACATTTTCTAATCTTCTCAAGTATCTAAAACTCATGAAGCTGTCTGGATCAGAGCACGAGGATCACGTTTCAGTTTAGGCTCATGTATTTTGTGTGAAATGTTGTATTTTCTGTTAAATTTTTAACAGTGTTTTGAGCGTGAGCTAAATCCTCCTGTTTTACTTCTTTTATTTACTCATTTGTTAAACTAATCAGGSWGTTTTTTATTGGACGTTATTCTAAATCAAATAAAATGGTTAAAGTCTGAGCTTTATGGGATACACAGTTAGAAAAATATCAAAACACCAGTTAGTCCTCGTCAGTCCACCATAATGCCCTGAGGTAATCAGGTCATTTCAACCCTTCCTCCTCTGTGAGCCCAAACCAAGGTTGTTGGTAAAAATAGTTCCCCTGAGAAAAAAGCTTTAACTCTGTATTTACAACAAAAGGGTTTCCCAAAGCTCTTCTCCAAGAGGAAACTGATAAATTGTTCCAGCGTTTGTTGAAAGGAACTGGATTGTTCTTCGTCTCTGTTAAAAGTGTGTATTAGTTTTATTTGTGCTCGCTCCGCAGCGCGGCTCTAAGAACAGAAGAAGAAGAAAGTCTTTATAAGGATTTCTGTGTCGGAGGCTGATCAATCACATCAAATCTAATCTGAACTGAGTCCATGGAAGCTCTTCATCAAACATGCATCTGTGTTCTTTGATCRACATCAGGGCTYTTCAACTGATGACCCGCGGGCCACATCTGGCCCGTGAGTAATCAAAGTTCAGCCAACCGGTTCTCTCATCTCTTAAACCCAAACCRCCAGTTTATTTACTTTAATTACTACAAGTTGTTTTAGTTAAACATAGACATGTTTGTCTACAGAAACATCAGAGTCTTGGCTACAAGATGGTAAAAAACCATTTCTATGAACATCTAAGACAGTTAAAACTACAAGCAGCTGAAGATAAAACTATGAAAGTGAAAATAAAATTGGTTTAAAAATTTGACAAGTCAGATGTTATAATATTTGTGTTAATTAGTGTTATTTTTGTTTTTGATATTTTATTATCACTACTTTTTATTATTACGTAGGGTTCTGTGTGTTGTGTTCATGATTAAATGCAGCAAAATAAACATTTTCAAAGGTCACAGGTCTTTGTAAWACTTGGTTTAATTAGARAACTWGAAGCACTTGAAGAGCGCAAACCTCCGCCAAGGCGATCTTCCTATCTTTGTGAGGACCACACACAGCGGTCACAACCACGCTCTGTGCGTTCTTTTTTCTTTGGTGAGAGGTGGATAGAGGGGCGCACAACGAGCTCTCAGCTTCATCTGGCCTCATTTAAATAATAATAAAAAACAAAACAAACAAACAACCTCCGAGTGTGAAGTCCACCGCGTCACTCCTCTTCCTCGATCTTCATCGATCTGTGTACAAGCCTACGGACAATGTGGTGTGTTTGAGGAAATGGGAAAAATGGGTTTCATGGTGCAGTCACGCACGTCCTGGTCACAAAACGTTCTTTAAATGTGCACCAAATGCGTAAAAATGCGCACATTATGGCAAGACTTATTCATCATTACATCTGGTTTTAACATTACTTTTATAAAGTTTGACGTCCAAACACTGAAAGCTGTGACAGTTTTTTACAGAAGCCCTGTGAAAGCATCACAGCTTTGCCGGTCTCAGAGGATTAAAAGAAAAACAAATTCCTGTATCCGCATCGTGATCCAGAACATCACCAAGATTTAATGGTGTGTTACTTGGCCCAGTACCCACATGTGYTGTAAATGTCATGACAATCCGTCCACAGACCGACATACGTGACCAAAACCGGCTGAATGTTCGGCCCCTGAGCTGTTGACCTGCAGTAACTGTGGCCCCCGGAGTCATTTAGTTGAATAGCCCTGCTCTAGAGGTTAAACTATAATAACTCAGGCTTTATACAGCTTTAACCTCTTCATAATKCAGTCAGGTGTTTTATAACAGTAATGCGTCTTTCAAGCTCTCACGGGCCACATAAAATGCTGTGGTGGGCCACAGCCGGTCCACAGGCCTTCAGTTGACTGTTTTTCTCCTTCAGTTTCTAAGAGGCTGCTCCACCTCACATGTATCTGCATCWTGTGAAAAATACTCAATAAAACCAGTGGTTAGAATCAGGATAGACACGGACACCTGGTGAGTGAGGTGAAACTGATGAGAGAAGTGGCTGCAGCTGTGACGAGTGAAACAGGAAGCAGGTGTAACCTGGAAACACCTGAAACATCCAGCCTCAGTAAATAACAGCTGATGATAAAGCAGTGAGGTACAGATCCTGACACTTTCAGAAGAAACCAGAGAAAAGTTAGTTTTTGTTTTGACTCGTTGAGCTGCAGGACAGAAAGGAAAGAAGTGATTGAAACAGGAAGTGGAATCACAGCTGCAGCTCTGAGACTCTGAGTGTTTCCTGTCAGGATGAAACAGCTGCAGGCTGACAGAACCGTTACTAACATTTAGACACATTCCACATATTTCTCTTTTTATTACTGCTTTGGTTTTGTTGCTGCACCTCTGCAGTAATGATGAGARGTTTGGGACAGAAGAGAAAATCTAAAAATAGATCATGACTCAGCAGAACTCCATGTTCAGGTATTACCTGCTGTACTTGTACACAGTCCGGTTCAGTAGTTTTAAGGTTTATAACGTCCTAACTGCGCACAGTACAGCTAATCTGCTTTTACTGACGTTTTCTTCAGGCTAAAAGGAGCAGAACAGAAATAAAAACAAACAGAAGTGTAAGAGGAGGAAAATGGTAGCTAAATGCTACATGTAGCAAAAGCTAAAAGATTGAAAAAGCCTGAATCCTGGCGTCCATGTCGTCACTGAGCCGAACATTTTCATCTGTYACAGCTCCGACTGTTTCAGACCTGCAGAAGTGGTTAGAGTCTGAAATCAAGCAGAAGAATAAAAATAATAGAAACATTTTTTATTTTAATAGACWTGAAACCATTACCTCATCAGCCTCAGCTCCAGATTTAACAACAACCTTCTGGTTTCCTTCTGACATGGGAAACACAGGGCAGGGCTTCCTGCGCCTCAGACACATCCGCTTTCCCAACACAAGCCCGAGTCTGGATACACAGACACACAAAACACACACAGTGACCCGGCTGCAGCGACACACAAAACACACACACAGTGACCCGGCACACAAAACACACACAGTGACCTGGCTGCAGTGACACACAAAACACACACAGTGACCCGGCTGCAGTGACACACAAAACACACACAGTGACCCGACACACAAAACACACACAGTGACCTGACTGCAGTGACACACAAAACACACACAGTGACCCGACACACAAAACACACACAGTGACCTGACTGCAGTGACACACAAAACACACACAGTGACCCGACACACAAAACACACACAGTGACCTGACTGCAGTGACACACAAAACACACACAGTGACCCGACACACAAAACACACACAGTGACCTGACTGCAGTGACACACAAAACACACACAGTGACCCGACACACAAAACACACACAGTGACCTGACTGCAGTGACACACAAAACACACACAGTGACCCGACACACAAAACACACACAGTGACCTGACTGCAGTGACACACAAAACACACACAGTGACCGGACACACAAAACACACACAGTGACCTGACTG